GAACTGTCTGACTGATAGGTAGTGCTGATGCCTGCTAAACTGAAAATAATATAAACTGAAAATAATATAAACAACCCACTTTCTTTTCGAGATGTGGTATCGGGCACCACCAAAACCACACCGGGCCAACAAAGTTTGATATTGGAATCCTTCCGGGACAAACAAAGCGGAACAGTCACTCGCTCCGAGGAGGGCCGGTTCAAGGTAAGTTTTCCCGAGCCCACTGTTAATTCCCTAGCCGAGCCGTATGATAATGCTCTCATATTGAAGTTTTCATTCACTGTCCCCTCCTTCCGGGATTTATCTGTCGGTTTGGTCAAATTAGGCCTCAAGGGTAGAGTGACTCCTAATTTCTTAAACTATAACCATTATTTACTCTCTTTTGAGTTGAAAGAGGACTATAATTTGATTTGGATTAAGACGCATCTTAATATCTTTGGATGTGCGGGTCAGGTGTTTAAATACACCCCGGATTTCTCTTTTGTAGAGGAATCTCCCATAGTCCCGGTGTGGTGCTGCTTTCCGGGCCTTTTCCCACATCTTTTCGATCCTTCTGCCCTCTTTTCGATTGCCAGTTGCATTGGCAATCCCATTGAGATTGATGCCGCGACGGCTAACCGATCGAGGTTATCTGTCGCACGGGTGTGCGTGGAGATTGATCTTAGGGACGAGCTCATCAAGGAGATTGAGCTCGACCAAGCGGGCAAGACCACTATCCAGAAAGTGGTCTACGAGAGAGTACCACCGTTCTGCTCCCTATGCAGTCATGTAGGACATGGGGCTGCAGAATGCTATACTAAGGGCAATAAGCCCCGACCTGCTCTGCCCCCCCGTCGACGTGTAGCGAGACAGGTTTCCTCTATCGCCCCGATGAGCCCTAAGGGGAAGGGCAAGGCCTCGGCCCATGGCCCCGACCCGAAAGGGCAAAAGGGCAAGGGCAAGGTCCCCCTCGAGGGCACTCAGCCCAAGGAGGCTAACCTCGATAGGCCTAAGGCCAAAGCTACAGGCCTTTTTCCCCACCAGTCCCTCCAGTCAGCTCCCATAGCTACCCATTCCCGCTTCTCTGCACTTGACTCGGAGTCGGAGGAGGAGTTTCTCATTCCCTCAGACCATCTGGGAGCATCGACCAGCTCCCCTTTTGACGATGATGATCTATTAGTGGATGAGATGGAGTCTCCCGCCATCCCATTGTGTATCGAGGCCCCCCCCTCCTCCTCTGCTCTCATGTTCGTAGAGCCCTCCCTCCACCTTACCTCTCTTCCTTGCCCACCAGCTCGACCCCTCCTGGCCCTCCCTTCTTCTTCCCATCCACCCCCCGTTAGTGGGTCTGGTCCTTCCTCCCCACAGCGCCAGACGCAGAGCTCCAAGGGATTTGAGCACCTACAGCTCATTCTCTTACCCCAGGAGTCTCCCCCTATACGAGGGGGATTTCCACAGGAGACCCCAGAGCACCGGAGACCACAGACTAGGTCGATGACAGCGCAGTTCTCTGCTAGCCGAGCTCTGACCCTATCAGTCATTCAGACACAGCCTAACCACGGACAGCTCCAGTTAGGTGGTCCCACTGACATTT